GTGATTTCAAACAAAAGCTATGAGTTTTCACATTTATTTGTCTGTCTCTCACCACAGAAATCCAAGCTCTCTGAGGGCAGGGGCCTTCCCATCCTATCTACCTCTGCACTCACAGCCTCAGGACAGCACACCCAAGCAGACAGTCAAAGGGTGCTGGTGAGGTTAAAGTGGAAATGAAAACGAGTTTTTCACAGGGGTACCCAAAAATGGCCTGTCTATTCCTTCTGGCATTTTCTAATTCATCCAGTAGGTTATGGCTCATAAAGTAAAAACTTATTAGCCTGGATCAGAGGCAGCCATACGGTGAAAGAAAAAACTCAGGCTAAGGATGCCTTGATGGTTTACATCATCACTTCACACAGTGTGGTTGGCATTTAAGAACAAGAGATCTAGAGCCAGCCTGGCTAGGTCGCTGGTCCTAGCTCTCTCCACTCACTAACCTCAGCAGAGACATATCCCATCCCTGTTCTGCAGCTTCCTCAGGTACAGAGTGCAGACACCTGTATCCTGCCACCACTGAGCTGCTATAAGGGTGGGTGAGTCAACAGCAGTGAGGCTGGTGCCTGGCAGGGGTAAGGGCTGGCTGTCACAGGCACCAGCATTTATGGAGCCTAAGGAGGAGGCTGGCTTAGAGAAAGAGGGCAGATAGATGTCATTCCCTCTCACCCATGCTCTCCAAGTGTCTCTGGCAGGAGAAAAAGAGCTGCCATAGTGGGAACCCCAACGCAGCCCAGGGCAGGGGGTGAAGTGGCAGCAGCTGTCTCACCCTCGAGCTACTCTCTTCTCATCATCACTCTCATACTCGGCAAGGACCAGCTCCTCCTCCCCAGACTCCAGCGGCTCCAGCTGCTCAGCCCCCGTTCCTGCTTCTAGCATCTCCCTGCTGAGGCGGAGGAGACTCTCCGTATCCTCTTCTTCCTGTCTCTGGATAGGGTATTGGAGATGAGAGAGGAAGACAACTCAGCACAGGGGTGGCCACCCCTGGCAGAGCCAGCCCCCTGCCTGATGCTCCTGAGAGCAGGCCTCACTGCTCCATAGGAAAAGGAACCTGGGACTCCTCTCCTCACACTGCCCAGCTCCTGGATGAGAAGAACTTAGCCAGTGGGGCTCGAGGAAAAAAGACAGAGTCTCCACAGTGCAGCATGACTTTGCCAGGACACAACCCGGCCTCTCCCTGGTGATGACACTCACCAGGCGTTTGGCTGTATACTTAAGCTTTGTGTTGTGCTGGATCTGCTGCAGGCGTTCTTCCCGCTTCCTCCTCCAGATCTGTTCCTCCTGAAAGGTGAGGCAGCCATAAAGGAATCTCATGCAGGAAGCCCTCAAACCTGGCCTTTCCTAGAGCATCTGAACTACTCAGCCCACACCCCTGCGCAGGGCCTGCCCTGCCAACACTCAAGCTGCTGCAGCCTCCTCTCCCCAGACCCTCCACCTCCACAGGCCCCAGCCTCACTGCTCCCGGCGGGCAATCTGTATCCTCACTCCCAAAGCCACATGCTCTCATCACATTGATTCCTTAACTGAGTTTGCAGCCACTGAAACATGCTGCCAATGGCAATGATTAGGTTCCTCTCCTAAGTGAGCACCAAATGGGAACCACTAGCCCCTTATCTGGAGAAGGCCTATTGACATCAGCTAAAAAAAAGATAGCAGGGGCCACACCATCGCCTCTAGAAAGCTGAGGAAGAGCTAAGGGCACCATGAAGGCAAAGAGGAACACATGCTACCTGAGTCCTGGGATCACCCCAATAATCGCTGAAGCTGTTTCCTTGATCACTACCTTCTGCTTACTCCAGATCTCACCTTCAGTCGGGCCACCATGTCCCTTTCTTCTTTCTTCTGCACAAACTGAGTAATCCAGTCTGGTTCTCCAGTGGGCTTCGAAGTACCTGCAGTCTCCCCACAGGAAGATAAGATAACTGGGGGTGGGCCTTTTTCATCCCATGCAGGGCCAGTTTCAGTTTCCAGGAGACGTGCCTCTTCTTGCCGCTTCTTCTGTTCAAAGTCACGGAGCCAGGAGAGGGACCCACAAATAAGACTCAAAGACTTTCCCTGCAGGAAGAAAAATGATCTTCAGAAATAAGGAGGCCAAGTGCAGTGACTCATTCCTATAATCCTAGCACTCTGGGAGGCTGAGGCAGGTGGACTGCTTGAGCTCATGAGTTCGAGACCAGCCTAAGCAAGAGCGAGACCCCGTCTCTACTAAAAATAGAAAAACTAGTGGGGCATTGTGGTGGGCGCCTATAGTTCCAGCTACCTGGGAGGGTAAGGCAAGAGTATTGCTTGAGCCCAAGAGTTTGAAGTTGCTGTGAGGGTATGATGCCACAGCACTCTACCCAGGGTAACTCTGCCTCAAAAAGGAAAAAAAAAAAAAAAAGAAAAAAAAGAAAGAAATAGAAAGAAAAAAGGAAGCTTCCCAAATGATCATTCCCTATTTTAGTAAGGGCTTCAAAGAAGATCTGGTTTTAAATATTAGAGGATGCTCTAAGACTATGCTAAGAAAGGAAGGAAGCGAACTAGCTATAGAAAATCCAGTAAAAAACAAGAAAAAGGAAGAAATAAAAACTGGGCTCTAGAAGCAAGAAAGAGCTTCTTTAATTATATAGCTCACTGTTCTAAAAAAAATTTTTTTTTGTTGTTTTTTTTTTGAGATAGAGTCTCACTATGCTGTTCTCCTTGGCATCACAGCTCACCGCAACCTCCAACTCTTGGGCTTAAGCAATTTTCTTGCCTATGCCTCCCAAGTAGCTGGGACTACAGGTGCCCACCATAATGCCCTGCTAATTTTTTTGTTGCTGTTGCCATTGTTGTTTAGCTGGCCCAGGTCGGGTTCCAACCCTCCAGCCTCGGTCTATGTGGCCAACGCTATGCACAGGTGCCAAGCCTGAAAAAAAAATTTTTAATGTAGTTTATCATGTTATATATAAATACTGCAAGTTAATACAATTAGAAAGTGATAAATTAGATAAATAACCCCCATAAAGAATTAAGGCCAAAAAATGTACAGCATAAAATCCCACCTACTTGCAAGGGGGGCCACCCTGGTCTGTCAGTTCTTAGGTAACTGATGTGTAGACACCACATGATCAGTCACAGGAACGTCAGGGTTTACAGTTTTTTTTTAAAGCAAATTAGTTGCTCTGCAGAACAATACTTTTGGCTTAAAGACCAGAATTTTCCCTGTAGGCCTTATGAGTTGAACTGTGTTTCCCCTGACCCAATTCCTACATTGACGTCCTAACCCCAATATCTACCATGTGACCTTATTTGGAAATAGGATCAACACAGATGTAATCCAGTAAGATGAAGCCACCAGGGTGGGCCCTAGACCTTTATAAGGACTGCTGTCCCTATTACAAAGGGAAATTTGCACACAGACATGCATTGAGGGAAGGGGATGTGATGGGACACGGAGGAGAAGGCGACACACAAAAGCCAAGTGCAGGGTCTAAGCAGAGCCTTCCCTCATGACCTGCAGGAGGAATCAACCTTGCTGACACCTTCATCAGATTCCCAGGGTCCAGAGCCATGAGAGGACAGGATTCTGCTGTTTGAGCCACCCAGCTTGTGAGCCTTTGTCATGGCAGCCTAGAAGGCTCACATAGTTCTCCTAGAAAGGATTCTGTAGCACATTCCACCAGGCATGTGGGGTCCAGAGGGAGGATCCAGTCAGGTGCATCTCTGGAAGAGCTAACACCTCTGGGCCAGGAAGTCAGCTCTCAAAACATGTTCAACCCCAAGGGGAGCACAGGACACCCAGGGGAGGGAGAAAAATTATGTGTTTCTCAAGTTAGGGGTGGCAGCATGACACTGGGTTTAAAAGGTAGGAATGCTAACAGAATACTAAGAAAACCTGTGTGCCAAAATTATGAACCACTCTAAGTTAATTGACAGGACTTACTGTCTTTCATATACTGTTATGAAAGAACAAAATGGAACAACAGAATAGGCAGGTCTGTACTCTTCCTGTCCCAAGAGATCCCGGTGTCACCTCCACAGAGAGTGACATGCTCCCATCAGCAAGTGAGAGAACAGGGATAAGTCACCTTCACTTTTTCCTTCCCTCAGCACCCACATATTAAGAGCCTTCCAAAGGCCAACCTTGCCAAGCTCCGCTAGAGAACAGGGACACAGCAAGCTGGCTCTCAGGACCCTCTCCTCTGGGAGGTCCCAGACTAGGTGGGGGCTCTTCACAGCAACACACATTTTACCAGCACACAGTACTTGCTATAAAGGGTGATAAAAAAAAAGAAAAGAGAGACCAGGGGGCCACTGCTGCAGCCCATCTCCTCCTCAACCACTAACTTCTAATAAACACCTCCCCAGTTCCCAGCCAAGGGAGAAAAAACAAAGGGTACTTGATCAGATCCCTCCAGAGCTCAGTAACCCAGTTCCTAGAGACTAAAACAATACATTTAATCATTGAAAATGCCAAAACAATTTCTCTTTCTCAACATCAAAGCAGTATGTGCCCTGAGAAAACTGGAAAGTTTTCGTGCTACAGGATATGGCTTCCATAGCCATTCCAATCCTCATTTGCCTTAAGCATCATCTTTCGCAGAGCCTGCCGCTGTGTTTAACACTTTTAATAGAGGAAGTGACTATTACTCAGAAAGAGATTGACATGTTACTTTGCCCAGCCTCAACCCATGATAATCTCTGCATAAGCTACTAGTAAAAGACTGACTCTAAGTCTTCTTAATTGCAGTCTCTCACTGTTCATACTCACAGTGCCAGTTGGACTCTCAAATATTCCAATCTTGCCTGCCTCCAAAACCTGGTACAGCTGTGCCATGAAGTCTTTCTGGATGGAATAGGGTGTGAAGGGAAAGGGAAAATGGATGCCATCAATCTTCTGGGATCCATCCGCCATGGTCCTAGGAAAAATAAATAAATATGGTAGCTCTCCAGTGACCCTGGGAGAAGGGACCTGGCATCTACAGCAGAATGTAAAATCTCCATACTTGTTACAGAATTTCGACTTAGGTTGAGTCAAAAAATGGTAAGAGACCACGATCTCTCCATCCTTTGCAGGCCCACATGATACCACGCCAGAATCAGGCAATGCATCCAGGGACAATTAATGGCTACAGCACAATGCAGCCTAGGAGAGCCCACAAATGGAATCTACTGCCATTCAATTGCTGCTTAAATACCTTTCTAGTAGTCCTACAAAAGGCTCAGAGATGTCCTCTTGAAGATGTGCAGCCCTGGGATCAAAGTGACTCCCTGTAATTACTTTTGCAGAAATCTCTTACACCTCTGCACTGCAGCATTCACATACCAAAACTGCCTCTCTTCATCCTGTTGTAAGGACCTGGAAAATCATGGCACACAGAGCAGGCAGAGAGTATGAGCACAGCTTGCTTAGATAGCACAAGAGAGCGTGTTTGTGCATCCATACACTTACCAGTATCTTGACTTTGCTCATTACTTCACCCCAGCCTCTATTTCCAGTACAAACCAGAGCTTCCTCCTAATACTTGCTCTGGCCTCAAGAAATGAGAGCTCTCTGGCTCTGGACTGGAGAGCCCTCTTCACAGCCACTGAGCTCTGGCTGGAACAGCTTCTCAATACCGAGATCACCACATTTCTCTTCGCTTGCTAGACCAAGGTCAGTAAGGAACCTTTGGTCCATAATTGATAGCTTTTACCTACCCTTTCTTCCTTGAATCACTACTTCATCTGGAGTAGTGACTGACTCTTTCATCCTGGTTTCTACACCCCTCTCTTTGGGACACCACTTCTCCAGACTATTTGAGAGAACAAACTAAGTACAAATGTTAATAAGTCTAAAACCCATTTTACTAATATTAATAGATCTAAAACCCATCTTTACTATCCTGGAGTCAACATCAGAGACAATGCCAATCCATAGGGAAGGTAGGCAGTGCCCATGGCTCAGTGGGTAGGGCGCTGGCCACATACACCAAGGCCGGTGGGTTCAAACCTGGTCTGGGACAGTTAAAAACAACAATGACAACTGCAACAAAAAAATAGCCAGACATTGTGGGCAGGTGCCTGTAGTTCCAGCTACTTGGGAGGCTGAGGCAGGAGAATTGCTTAAGCCCAAGAGTTTGAGGTTGCTGTGAGCTATGATACCACAGCACTCTACCAAGGGTGACATAGTGAGACTCTGCCTCAAAAGAAAAAAAAAAAAACAGAGCGGGAAGGCTCTGGTGTTCTTAAGTTATAATTTAGCAGCAATGAACAAGTCGCCCCCCGCCTCCTTTTTTGAGAAAGTGCCTCAAGCTATTGCCCTGAGTAGAGTGCCATGGCATCACAGCTCACAGCAACCTCCAACTCCTGGGCTCAAGCAATTCTCTTGCCTCCGCCTCCCACGTAGCTGGGACTACAGGTGCCTGCTGCAACACCCGGCTATTTTTCGGTTGCAGCCGTCATTGTTGTTTGGCGGGCCCTGGCTGGATTTGAACCCACCAGTTCAGGTGTATGTGGCTGGTGCCTTAGCCACATGCGCCACAGGCGCAGAGCCGAAAAAGACCCTCTTTAATCTGTATACCACCACAAGGATACAGCTGTTTGATACTGATACTTACAGAAACTAAATAATTGCTTAAAGTCACAGCTAACTAAAGGACAACCAGGATTCAAACCCAGGTCCACATGGTTCTGTTTCAGTCAAAGTTCATCTGGTTGCAAGAGAGAATCAGCATAAGTGAAAGAGGGTAAGTGAAATGATACAAAGTGAGAGTAAGAATGGAGACTATCTGGGAACCTCGCTGATAATTAAATACCCACGGATTTTCATTCTCCTGCTCAGGTGCCAGATGTAGCCATACCCTCACTCCCTTAGCTGACTCAGACTTTCTGCTTACCCCAAAGCTTCACCCCTCTCCCTTTTAGCTTCAGCTCCCACCGCCACATGAAAATTCTTTTCACATGTCATAGTCGTAAATCTGAAGAGAAAAGTCACATCTGCATCTCCTCTCCTTTTAAGACAGAGCCCTGGGCAGCCTACAGACTGAGTGATTGGTCAGCACCCACCTGATCTAACCAGCAGAGCCTTGCACCTACTGGTCCCCCAGCCCAGCCATAATGAGGACTCAGCTCCCTTGTCAGAGAAGTCTTCCCCTCTATTTGGCCACCTCCTACACACACACACAGAGCTTTCAGTCACTCTTTCAGCATATTTATCCTGCACAGACAGTTCTTAAATTACAAATGTCCAACTTACATACTACTCACACTTATGAACAAAGGCTATTGCAGTAAGTGCTATTGCAGTAAATGCCTGAGTTACAAACATCTGACTGATACACAATTCACAAACGGAGGCTGTTAGTACCTGTTCCAACTTACATACAAATTCAACTTAAGTAAAAACCTACAGAACCTATTCAATTCATAACCCAGGGACTGTCTGTATTTAATTTCCTTGTACCTCTTAAAACTACCTGACCCATTTTATTTCTCTGTCTCCCCCACTGGAATATAAACCACATAAGGGAGTGGACCTTGTCTGGCTTGTTCTTCCCTGGCCTCAGGACTAAGAACTAGGGGCTCCAGCACCTCACAGGCTGTCAATAAAAACCAAATGAATGAATGAACAGCCAGCCAGACGTGGGGCCTATAGGTAGAGGTTTTTGTTCTTCACAAGTCCACACTGGTGGACAGGGTCCTATGACTTGAGGAGCTAGTCCAAGGGTTGTCTAATGGTTTCAAACTGTTTTCACATGACCTCACAACAACGCTGTATGGTCAGTATTTTTCTTAGCTCTATTTTATAGATGAACAAACTGAGATTCAGAAAAATTAACTGACTTGTCCAAGGTCACTCAACGGGAGGCTGAATCCAGGACTGGAACCTGTCTGCCAGACCCCCAGACCCTTCAGCTTTGTAAAGGGTGGCAATCCCCACCCTTCCTACCACCAGGGCAAGTAGGATGAAAACGTCTGGTTACCAAACTCGACAGTGACAACATGGAATAATACAGAACAAAGTAATTATCCTTTCATTTCCCTGGGTGAGGTCATGATGGCTCTCATTATTTCAGAAGCAGCACAGTAGAAGAAAGGTTTAGATCAATGTGAGAATAATGGATTCACTAAGTGTCATCAAGGACATGAGGTGTCACTTTCTCAGACCTCTTCAAGGAGGCTGTGTGGAAGACAACCATGACCTCCTACCCGAGTTCTCAGAATGCTCCTCCACTGCTGAGGCACACACCAGCATAGCAAATCTCGTGCCCAATAATGCAGGTAGGATTTGTGACAGCACTTCAGGCGCATGTACTGAAAGTGTTCATTTTCTTCAGTTCAACTATCACTCCCTACTTACTTACTATCAACTATGGCTATAGAATGAACTGTGCTCCCCCCCCAAATTCATGTCAGAAAGGCCTGACTCCCACTCTGACTGTATTTGGAGATAAGGTCTCTTTAGGAGATAACTGAGGTTAAATGAAGTCATAAGGGTGTGATCCCAAACCAACAGGACTGATGGTATTGTAAGAAGAGAAATAAAAAGAAATCTTCACTGAGCACAGTGGCTCCCTCCTCCTTCATTCTGGGAGCCTGATGCAGGAGGACTGCCTGAGTTCTGGAGTTCAAGACCAGTTTGAGCAAGGGCAAGACCCCCTGTTTACTGAAAATTTAAAAACAAAAAAAAACTGTCTCTACTGAAAATAAAAAAAATTAGCCAGGCATGGTGGTGTATACCTGTGTAGTCCCAATTACTCAAAAGACTGAGGCAGGAGGATCACTTGAGCCCTTAAGTTTGAGGTTGCAGTGAGCGATGATGATGCCACTGTACACTAGCCAGATCAACAAAATGAGACTGCCTCATAAAAAAAAGAGTTCTCTGTCCACCAGGTGAGGACACAGATATAAGGTGGCAGTCTGCAAGGAACCAAATCTGCCAGCACATTGATCTTGGACTTCCCATCATCCAGGACTGAGAAAACAAATTTCTAAGCCACCCAGTCCCAGGCAATTCTGTTCCAAGTACTATAATACTGCTGTGCTCCTAAAAATGCTTTAACTTCACACACCTGGAAAACTCCA